TAGTGGCTTTATGTGTGATCTGCAGCAAACAGTACAGCAGTTTGACCCCTGAAACAGTGCATCTGTGTGCGGGAGTGAAAGTAAAAATTTACCTCCAATTTACTTGGTGGCAATTGAAAAAAAGTCATTTTTTGTCAATTGCCACCGCGTCACTCGGTGGCAATTGACACTAGATCTAGATCTAGATCTTAGATCTCTAGATCTACCTTACAAGAATGGCGCTCGCGGTTTGTTTTGCGGTCTCCAGTGACTGACCACAGACCACCACAGCCAGTGTAAGTCCAGGCAAAAGGAAAACAGACAATGTTTGACTCTTCAGCCACCACCTTGTCAGTGACATACAAAATAAATAGATGTAGATTAGCAGGAAATGATACACAAACATTACTCGAAATGTATGTGATACACAACTCACAGGAATGTAAGGAATAAGGCGGAGTTTTCTGCTTGCTAGGAGGAGTTGAATATGGCGCGCATGACAGGCCAACCTAACGATTGTTTTCGGCCTTGGCCCTTGACCGCAGCAGCTGTAGCGGTGGCCGCTTTGGCTTCAGAAAAATCAAAATCTTTGGTGCAAAAATAGGCCAGCTTGAGCTAGTCAGAGGTTCGAAGTTTGAGTTTCGGATTCCTTGTCAAACAACCGAATTGCACAAGACCGGAAAAGTTTGAGAACTCAAAGATTTCAATTTTGTGAAGAAATCTTTTATAGTTACTGTCAGATGCAATAGAGCAAAAAATACAAACTGTGCAAGTTATTAATTAGTCTATCAATATTCTAAGTTGATTACTTTCTCAAGAAATTCGGGACGATTAGTAGAATAGAATAGTTTGAAAAGATATAATGTATAGGCTGGCTCCAAAATTTGTGATGTTGATTTTTGGGGGCTTGTTTGTTTTTTTACGATACTGAACAGCAATTTGTATCTGTATAATAGTTTATAAAGCGTGTGTGTGTGTGTCTGTGTGTGTGTAAGTGTGCTTGTGTGTGTGAGAGTGAGTGTCTATTTTGTATTTTTGAGCGTGCATGTGTGTGTACGTGTGTGTCTGTATGTGTGTGTTTGTGTGTGTGTGTGTGTGTGTGTGTGTGTGTGTGTGTGTGTGTGTGTGTGTGTGTGCACGTGTGTGTTGTGTGTAGGCTGACGTACGTGTGTTGTGTATGTATTATTATTCGAAAGTTCAGCAAGCAAGTGTCACTATCCTGTGATGAGAGATTAAGTGTCCTGATTTTTTCTTTAAATCAATAGCCCCCCCCCCCCCACCCCCACCCCCACCCCACTAATCATTTGAAGTAGAGATGAAATAGTATTTCATTATCACATTCAAGTTGAAGGAGTTCCGAATACTATATTCGAATAATTGAAAAAGCGAGTCCTTTGCTCGAGCTCGATAATTGCCAGATTTTCTTGAGAAGACCGAATAGGAGAGTTGATTCAAATTCAGGGACCTTACATTACAATGACAACCGAGGAGGAGGTTATAATGAAATCTTGATATATGAAATAGTTTTATTCTGAGATCCTTGAGATTAGGAAAGTCAATAGACTTATTTTATGCTTTTAAACCCATTTATCCCATTACTTTTACTGATGTCAAAATATAGATCTAGATGTCATAGCGGCTCACATAAAAAAAAAAAATCCAGTACATGCTTAACAATAACGGCGAACAACTTCTCTGTTAAATACAGTGTCAAGAAACATAATATTATGAAGAATGTATGATAGAAATTACTGAGTTACTAGAAACTGACTTGAACGGCATAGAAAAAGAAACACTACTAGAGTCTATACTAGAAAACAAACAGAAAGTGAGAAGCGCAATGAACTGCTTGTCATGGCCTCCGGTACTTTGTATAAAGACTTTTACTTTCTACTAAGTTTGTACACACCCACACACAATATCGACGTGCACTCGACCTGTAAGTATGTAATAAGAACAGTACTGTATGATGGCAAAAAGTCAAATGATACTGTATCAATGACGCTGTCCCGTGCAGACTAAGTCTACAATCAGATACTATACAAAGCTGGACAAAGTTAGCACACAACAGTTTTTCCATCATTATGTAACCAAACGTTCTTAATATATCATCTCACTTCTCAGTTTTCAGAACACTTTGGTAACAAAGTGGGGAAGACGTGTGCCAAATGCTAATTATAGAACTTGGTGTTTAGCTGGGGTGACGGTGGATAAGAGGAGGGAAGGGAGGGGGTAGGCACATTATTTTCGGCCCATACTCAGACAGCCGAGTAGGATTGACTTCATCGCTGTACCCGCTGTGTTCGTTTGTCCTCGTACGAAGTTTCGCGACGTGACGGTTTGATGGGAGACAATTTAAAGTTACGAGCCGGAGCGATAAACAAAGGTGAAGGAATGAGGCTCTGCCGCGACAAAACAGCAGTGAATCCCACTTGTCTATTTGAACGCCTTCATATCGGCAAGGTGCTTTTTGAATGTTGATACATGTTTATTCGGATTTACTTAAAACTGAACGAAAATCATCATCAGCAATAAATCTCTTGTCAACAGTAGAGCTGACAAAAATTTGACCGGCACCGCCGGTCTTGCCCAGTTAACAAACTGCCCCTGATAGTAGTCTCCATTTGAGATCCCATCGTTTATCATATCGGTTCACTAAAGATTCCGTTGTTTATAAAGAAAACAAAAGAAACAAACAACCTTCAACGAACAACACATCTTATTACGGAAAAGTCACCCCTAAGATCCCACTCTATGGGTCACCCCTAAGATCCCACTCTATGGGTCACCCCTAAGATCCCACTCTATGGGTCACCCCTAAGATCCCGCTCTATGGGTCACCCCTAAGATCCCGCTCTATGGGTCACCCCTAAGATCCCGCTTTATGGGTCACCCCTAAGATCCCACTCTATGGAGTCTGAAGCTCCCGCATTTTAGCATGTTTTACTGTTAACTAAAAAACCTTCATAGATCATCCACACTCATACATACGACCACATCTCCGCTCTCAATTTCTTGACGAGTGATACAATATTATAAACTTTCGCCTCATGTGCAGGGGCCTTATACAGTAATGAAAGGATCACGACCCATGTTTGAACTTTTCGACGCCTTTGAATACTTTGATTTCTCCGAACATCGAGCTACAGCAAGGCGTGATCCGGTTGGCAGGGCCAATAATTAGGCCGCACGCGTCCGATGGGATCATATCGATTTTTCTAAGATTTCGTCGATCGGTGCTTTTGTTTCCCTGACCATCTATCAGGTGTGAATTCGAATTTGCAGGACAGATTTTGCACATTCTCTCTCTCTCTCTCTCTCTCTCTCTCTC